ACTATGAACGAAGCTTTGTCGCTGAAGGACAAATCTCTCGAAGACACTGAGGCGGAGAGAACGCAGACCGAAAGTGCTTATCAGGATCACTTGAAAGAAAATACTGATCTGATGAGAAAAATTGAAGCGCGGGAAAAGCAAATAAAACAATTGAAAGAAAAGACAGAGAAAGCATCGAAATGGAAGGCTAATGTTCGACAATGATAAGCTGCATCAATGATAAGTTGCATCGATCAAACATTTCGCCTCAACTCAAGTCAGGCGAGCCTCGATTTCGTAGATTTAGTAGAGCTTACTAAAATCACGAGCCATTTCTTTTGTACTGTTCTCTACACCTGTCATGTCGAAGTCTTAAGAGATGAACAACGAGGTCGTTAAATTGTCACTCATTTAGTGAACCGTGCTGACTATCAAACATCGCAAGCGAAAACCAATGTGCCCCGTTACAAGAAAGATAAGCTCTGATGCATTATGCTTCCGGGTTAAACGTTTTTGATATGGCTATATGAGCTGGTATCATTGACATCAGTGTTCACTGACACAGAAGAAGTTGCATGCTTTTATTACAAAACTCAAGCAGGAAACAAATAGCCATTTAAATGGGAACACTGGCGGTGCCTGTTTGGTCATATATGATGTTTGATAATCAAATTCTCTTGCGAGCCCAGATTACAGTTATCCGGGCATGCCAATACAGGCCATTCTAAAACTTCAAGGCTTAAAACGAGTTCATCATTTCAGCTAGTTCTTCATAAATCGCTTATTCTCTAAACGAAACTCAATCTTTGGGAATGGTTTCTTGCTGGTGGAGATTAAAATAATGCTTAGACCAGAAACTGGTGTTATGATATTGTAGCTTAAATTTACAACTCAGCATTGCTATTATTATTGCACTCTAAGAGGATAGTTATCGTGCCTAGCAAGTATTCTCCAAACAATGACAAAAGTTAGGTGCAAGATAACCAAAGAATAAATAGACAGCGAACAGACAAAATGTTGTATCTTCTAATCAGCCTTAGCTTTCCTCTACTACCTCAGGTCATTGCAAAATGTACATGTGAAGAGGGAGCAATTTTATTTAGATGTGTGTTCACGTTCATCACAATTATTTAAGGACTGAGTTTGAAACAGTGCTTAAAAAAGAACTCTAATTTATCTTGAGACTAAAATTTCTTCATATATATTATCTTGAGACTAATATTTCTTCATATATATTTGAAGACACCTAACCAATCTGATTAGAAATCGTCTTAATCACTGATACAAGGATTTGCTCTTTTACCGTGACATCTTTGCGTTACGCCAAAGATGACATCGATGCTTGACTGATTATGCCATACATACGAACCCTTATTATTGAGATACGAAAGACGCAAGTTTTTCCATCACACATAGAGAAACTCAAAATCGTTCTGTATTGATTAAAAATTAGCACATATCATATGATAATTGGAAAATAAACGACAACTTGAATGACTAATCGGCCCACCTAGACTTACGGGAGACGTATGGGAGTTTTAATTTGAGGACCTCATAAACTACTTCATGTAACATCTCCCTCTAATTAATCGAGTTAATTTAGATTCATTTAGAAACTTTCTTGTCTTTAGAACATTTACTGAAACTCGGTCTTTCTTCTACAAGTTGACCTATTCCTCCGATTGAAAACTAAAACTCACTAATGACTAAGGTTACTGTCAAAGTTTATAATTCACATACATTTTAAACGTTGTCAGTGAATCTTGAGGGGCGAACGCTGCCACTTCTCGTTAGGAGAGTCTGAGGAGGATGCAACTTCCTTTTTTTCACCAGGATTCTTGGTTAGCATCCACTGGCTTTGTCAAAGGTGAGTTCTGGTTGGTGGTACTGCCATCGGCGATGATAGGAGTTACCTTTGGCTGGAATCTTGGCGGATGAACTTTCGATTACGCCTTTAAGGGTCTCCGTTCAGTTACCAACGTGGTCCGTCTTCAGTTCTGTCTTCTCCTGCACACGATCCTTTCTCCCATGGATTCTTGGGGGTTTACTGGCTGCAGACGAATTGGTTTCCCAATTTGCAGCCCTGTCAATGGTCTGTCGGTCTTGTAGTAATTAAGTTTGGCCCGCTGTCTCTTACATTTAATGTCGTCATAGACTACTTATCACATACATACATACATACATAAATACATACATGCATACACTTTATACATACATACATAAAGCTTTTGTCTCGAATTACAGAGTAGCCAAAAATAGGCTAGTATCTCCGAGAAAAGAAAGAAAATCCTAAAATGAAATAAACTATGGTATACACTAACTGGAGAAAATATTTAACTCTTAATACAATTAATTAATTAATTAATTAATCTGTATCGCCGAATTGCTAAAATAAAGTCATGCAAAGACGGAACGGTTCTCAGTCTGTCAAGCAACGCGTTCCAGAACTTAGCAGTATAACTAAAAGAATTTAAGCCATAAAAAGTAGTAACAGGTTTAGGAAGACTAAGGGTATCAGCACTTCTCATCGAATAATCAACAGATCTCAGAGAAAGCAATTCTTTGAGATACTGCGGATACTGTTCAAGATGAAGACATTTGAAGATAATTATAAGCATGTTCTGTATCCGCTTGTTACTGAGGGAATAATGTCCAATACGTTGCAATAGGTCACCGTATGATGAGACTTTGTCATTTAAGATGACCCGAAGAACGCGTTTGTTCAACATTTCTATCTCATCCTTATTTCGACAGTCACAAAAATGCCATACGGTAGAACAATACAGGAAGTGTGGTAATATAAATGCTTTGTAGAGGCGTAACAATACAGTGGCAGGTATAAGCTTGCGAAATCTGCTTATGACATTGAATTGGTTAGTTATCTTTTTACATATGTTAGAGACGTGTTCATCAAAACAGAGTCTGTCATCCACAGTTATTCCCGGGTTATTCCAAACAATTCAATTGATTTTTGTACCGGAAAGGAAAACACATGATCCGTGTTTCCTATAATCATGGCTTGGTGTTTGGTGGGATTGACCAACATGCCGTTGCCTCTGTACCATTCGTTTGCAATGTTGAGCTGATGCAGAGGTTCTCCACCAGAACCATTGATGACGCATAAGTTTCCAAATACCCCATGGTCAAAAATTGCCCAAGATCTCTTCACCTATGGAGATGAGACCTTACTCGTGACTATTGATTATTATTAATTACAGTGATTACCTCGTACCAGATCTTTTGCAAGTTGCAGATCAAGGCAACCAAGTCACACTTTACCATATAGTCTGGGTAGCAAGCGTTTCCAATCGAGTTATTGCGCGAAAGTTAGAGCGGGAGCAAAAAAAAGGGTGGAATTTTGCTCTCGTGCCAACTTTTTTAGACGAACTCACGTGGAAACGCTTGCTACGCAGGCTATTTACCATACAGATAATGGCCTCCAATATTCAACGCACACGAAGAAACTCAGCACACCATCGGTTCGCCTTCAAACAATCGGAGCAATAACAATCAGAATCAACCGTTAAGATCGGTAGAAATTCATTACAGACTGTACAGTTTTGGGACTTGTTCCTTAATCTGACATGCACAGCACATCACGTGCCCGACGTACCCAGTCCTAGGCGACTAGAATGGACTCTAAAAATCATTTGTGGCCTCATTAAAATGGGAACAATGACCGCCACTTCACTTGCCTACCTTCTTGTGCTGTGCTGTTGCCTCTCAGTCTTTGTTCTTCCTATACCTCTTCAAATGCAAGTGAGGACCACCTCCGTTGCGACTGGCCATCCACTGTCTTAACAGTGTCCATTAGAGTCTGCCGTGTGGGGTCTAAAAGTGTACATTGCTCAAGTTCATCAGCCGAAGGGTTCTCACTCTGATAAGCGCATTTAATCAACTTGATTGATGCTAGCAGTTTCTTTATACAGCTACTCTTCTTGCTTGAGTTGGAAGATTTGGTATTCCAGACTGTCCTCTTACTGAGTGCGGTCAGCCTGGAGATAACGGCTCTGTTAAGCATGTCTTCTATGTACATTAATGAAGCAGGAAGATACTTTACTCACATGCAGATTGCAAACGAAGTAGAAGTAAAATTTAAAAGTAAAATTTGGGTGCTGAATGGATAGACATTTGAAAAATGGGAACCAATGGCTTATGGTCTGTTTCCACATTTAAAAATTCTCTTCTGTACAGGTACTGATTAAAGCGATCCTAGGCCAACACAGTCGACAAACTTTACTATTCTATTTTGAGCATGCAGACGTTCTACAAGGATATAAATGCAACAAGCTGTCCATTTTGGAGCAAAGTCGCTCCTAAACCGGACTCTAAGACGTCACTTTGCCAATAGTGGGATAGAGGGCTCGCTGGCTAGATCATTTCAACGGGGGTGCAGAGCTGATCCTACTTTTGATTGCTTTAAAAGCTTCTTCCTATGAGATCCCCCAAGTAATATAAACATACAATTTTTCTCAGTTTAATTACGTAGTAGTTAAGACGTCTGCGAGCTTTGGTATGAACCTGGACAAATAGTCAAACCATCCCCGAATAAGTTGGACTGCCTTCCTGCTATGTTCTTGTCGAGGCATGCTGACCTAAACAGTTAACATTTTCTACACTTTGGAAACTTTAGGGAGAATAGGTACAAACATTAGTTATGATTGGCCGATAGTATTCAAGGTAACCATAAACCAATCATAAGCAACACGTCCACCCAATCGACCCCAGAAGTAGTTGCACCGAAAGATAGTATCCAATCCACTTATAGTTACTACAATGGCATATTTTAAGCCAGTTCTCTTTTTTAATTTTTATATTTTGGAACATTTATTGTGAAATCCCAAATATAATTTAAATTTGCAGCGTCCAGTCTTTCAGTAATCATAACATTTTAGCAAAGCCTTTTAGCATAAATGATTAGTATAAGGTCGCTACTGTCTTATAGGAAGGAAAGCTGGACAAACAGTAGTCAAATGTCCAGATGTCTTTTGTGCACGCTCATGTCAGAAGAAACGCTTGACCAGTTTCAATGTAGCCTGCGACAGACAGCCTAAATCCCAGGTACTGAATCTCAAGTATGATCTATTGTAGGTCTCATGGAGTTACAATTCCGGCTGCAATGCAAGCCAGTCAAGCTGCAGGCCTTTTCATTCCTGAAACTTATAAATAACCAGTGAGAGAGAATGGGCTAGCAAAACCGCGCGAAACTAGTGCTTAATATTTTGGATTTCCTTGAAAATCCTTTGCTGAGTAAGATATTGGAAGTGACATAGATTATTCAAAATGTTAGAATCCCCTAACGCGTTTTAATTTACAGTGATTTTAAGGTTTTGTTGCTTATCTTATGAACGTTTACGCATTGTGAATATTTTATGGTACAGCTGTTCACCGTTGCTTTGTGGAAGCATAATCTTTTTGTTAATTACAATCACAATTCAACCAACGCGTAAAAGCAAACGGGAGTTTTTTCTAAAATCTTGCAAGTAATGTTTCAAATTGAAAGCGCGGTCGAACGAATAACCATTTTTGAAATCTAAGTTTAAAAAATATTTAATAAAAACAATTTTGTGTTAACCGGCATGCTTGTTCAGGGATAAAGTATAGCGTTAAATTTAACATAAAATTGAATAAAAATAGTAGCAAGCAATTCTCAAACGCTAAATCATTTAAATGCACACCAGTTCAAATGATCCGTCAAGGAAGAAAATTACTCAATTTTCATTTATAAAGTGGAAAACCGGGATAAATTTAAAGTAGTCACTCGGGCAACCAAAGACGAGATGATTAAAAAATATATGAATATTGTTCCCTGCTGGCTTTCATGTGTTAACAACATTTTAAAGATGTAAAGATTAAACTCGAAAGTAAAATTAAACTAAAAGTCGCCCCCTAAACAATGAATTCTGCTCGTGATATTGCGTATTTATTTTTTCCTAACATTTTTGTTCAGTTATATCATTGTAGTTCTGCATTGTTAAAATTTTTTATAACAAAGACTGGACAAATGTAAAAGATGTGCTTTTCCCAGTGAGACAAAAGAACTAGGATTTAAGTCTGCGAACACCTTTGAAACGGACTCTTTGCTCATTGAATAAAATAACCGCCAGCTAAGCGCAATCTACAGCTACAAAGCCATCTACAATTTACTACCTTGGTCGCATAGATAGTGTGGTTTAAGAACATTCTAGCCCAGGGTATAGATAATCTCTCACTAACCATGATGTCTTAATGCTGAGCAGTAAACAGTTAAATTGAAAATGAATGAACTTTGAGAGTAAAGACTTTTTTATTATCATGATTTTTATACTTTTTTGCAAATACCTTATTTCACTTTGTATTAAAAAATCAGTTTACGAATATCGCATGCAGGTGTCGAGCGTAGAGAAATGTTTATCACTTTTTCAAGCAATTGCTATCAAAAAATTGTTATTTCAATACCATATTACAAGTTAATGGCTTCTATTTTGATAAAAAGAAAAAGAAAACATGCGGTACCTAACTGTAAAAGCCTTCGCACAAGATAAATGGTAAATATTCGCGAAATGGCAACGCTATGAACTAGATATATCTCGCAGTTTGCTGCTTAATACATGGATATATTCTAATGTTGTGTCGGCTAAAATAGATAATTGTCAATGTTTGTCAAAATTCAGCGGCAATTGGGCTGAAAAACTAATGTGATAAAGCAATTTCTGAGCGATTTTCTTTGGGTATTAAACTAATGATATGGGTAATGTACGACATTCACACCACCGTGAATTGGATGAAAAAATTCTTTTGATGGTTTTTAGTTATAAAGGACGAATAAATAAGTTTAAGTCTATGAAGCCGCTTTACTTGTTTTCCTTCATTTCAGTGCGTTGCTCCGAATTCTCGGTTCTTTGTAAATTACATACTACTCATAGGTGTGTTGGAGTGAATCCAGCCAACAGTTCCCTGTATTCGTCCGCATCTTTTAGTTTTGAACAGCAACTTTCCCTGGCAAGCTGCAATGATCTCGGTAAACAAAACGAAGTTCACAGTTCACAAGACAAAACGTTGAGGAGTTTCTCTGGGGTGTCAATAAGATGTGCGGGGCAGATAGGGTTTTGAACTTCTAGAAACGTGGCAAACTCAGAAAACGATTCTAAGACATCCCACTCTACCGTTAAATTCAAGTAACGTGTTGCCGCATGATGGGTTAAGGTGCCAAA